GGCCAATGGTCGGCCGCTCGGCCAGCTTCAGCTTTCAGCGCGGCTCAGCCAAGCCGAGGCATATGCCTTCGGCTCGACTGAGCCGCTCGGCTAAGTCCGGGAGCTGTATGGGCTATTGTGAATAGCCCATACAGCAGGCCTTTGGTTCCTTTGAACCGAAGGGGTCCTGGGGCCGAAGCTGGCCGAAGGATCGGCCGAACAATCGACCGAAGCTACGGCTAGATCCTTCGGCTGCTTCGTGAATAGACCCCAATGTTTCTGCTTTCTCAATACTATATGCATCAAGGGCAATGCAATGTGCACTGCATTGAGCTCCCCCGTAGAAAATGGGGTCTATTCACAAAGCTGCCGAAGGATCTGGCCGTAGCTTTGGCCGATCCTTCGGCTAGTTTCGGCCCCAGGACCCCTTCGGTTCAGGAGAACCGAGGGGGTGCTGTACGGGCTATTCACAATAGCCCGTACAGCTCCCGATCACAGCCGAGCGGCTCAGTCGAGTCGATGTACGGCTGAAATTAGCCGGACCAGCCTGAAGTGAATAGCCAAACAGTGTTCGGCTCACTTCACTTTCATCGGTCATTCACTCGGCTGCCCTCGGCAGCTTTGTGAATAGACCCCAATGTGTTTTGACATGTGAAACACATTTTTTAAAGAGGTAAGAGCATAATAAAGAGAAGAACCGTAGGATTTGAGGATCTAACTTTGCAACTCTTACAACATACTTAAACAACTTTACTTTTAGTTACAGCCAGCCACCATGTTAGAATTACAAGTCATAAATCAAAACATTTATCTTCTATTTTCTGCAGCTGTAGACACATTAACATTTTTTATAATAACTTACGGATCATTTGACTTTGGGATCAGTGTTCCAAGTTCTTTAATCCTGTAGTTAATATTGTAGCGTCGCCGTCGTTCAACTGTTGAAACAGGGCATTTTAATGATGGTTTGTTAAGCATTATTGGTACATTGAGTATCTACTTCAAATTTAGGTGATGTTCTCATGCACAAAATATTTATGTATGCAAAATTACAGTAAAATATGTTCATATATACTGTATGTATATA